GAGTGCCATCCCCCCACCGCCGCCCGCTGGGCCGCGGGCAGCGTCACCGAGCTGGCCTTCAAGGTGGCCACCAGGGAGCTGAAGGTAGGTTGGCTCCGTGCGGAGCTCATCGCCCCGTGGCTGAGCAGGAGCGGGGCCCTGGGGGTCTCTGGCTGTCCCCGCCTGGCAGGACCAGCCAGCGGGGGATGGAGGGATCTGCATGATGCTGAATCTGATCACCTTCACCTTTGTTTTGTCCCCAGAATGGCTTTGCTGTGGTGCGACCACCTGGACATCACGCGGATCCTTCCACTGCCATGTAAGGGTCCCTCTCTGAGCTGTGGGGTACATGGGAAGCCCCCCCAAAACAGCTCCTTGGCTCCAAATCCTGGGCCCCCTCCGTATCCAGGCCAGGGGGAGAGGGGAGGGCAGGGGGAGCCCCACCCCTTTGGGGAGCACGTGGGGTGCTCAGGAAGGGCCCCAGAGCATTAACCAGCTCCAACTCCCTCTTTGCAGGGGATTCTGCTTCTTTAACTCGGTGGCCATCGCCGCGAGGCAGCTGCAGCAGAAAGGGAAACTCGGCAAGATCCTCATCGTGGACTGGGTAAGTCCCCTCCATCCCCCGGGACGTCCCCACCACCTTCTCCTGGCTCTGGTTCGGAACTCGACCAGCTCCCTCCTTCAGGGACCGGGCTTGGGACCCCCCTGGCACATCAGGATGGGGGAGCAGGAGCAGACCCTGGGGATGAGGGACCCAGCCCTGGGGTGGGGTGGAGATCCAGTCGCTTTGAGCTCCATTGGGTCGCCCTCAGGCTGGAAAGAAGAGCGTTGTCCCAACCCGCTTCTCCTCCTAGGACGTTCACCACGGCAACGGGACCCAGCAGATCTTCTACAGGGACCCCGACGTTCTCTACATCTCTTTGCACCGGCACGACGACGGCAACTTCTTCCCCGGTAGCGGGGCCGCCGACGAGGTAAGCAGCACCGAGAGGCTGCGAGGTCCCTGGGCGGGAGCCGGTGGCGGCGATGGGTGG